GTAGGAGCTCATATCAATCTTACACTGAAGCTGTTTAGAACACATCTTGAGATAAATGGAGACATGTTGACTCATTTAAACTGTATGAAAAGCATTTTTCAACAACTGCAAGAAAAGGAGCTTGTATTTAATGAGTTGCAACAAGTATACATCATATTGTCTTCTTTGGATCGAAGCTATGATGATTTTGTGACTGCATTGGAAGTATTGCCAAAAGACAGTTTATCAGTAACTGAGATAACTGGCCGGCTATTAGAGGAAGCCAGGAGAAGGAGTGAACGTGAACAGCTGAGGGAAGATAAGCCTAATGAAGAGAAATTATCTTCAAAGCCTGAGAGAAACCAGCTGTGTAAACGAAAGCACCCGGAGGAAGAGAAGTTATCTTCAACGGCATACACAATTAAAAAGTGTTTTAATTGTGGAGGCAGAGGACATTTGGCAAGATTCTGCAGAAAAGGAAAAAGCCAGAATTTAAAGAAGCCAAAGAAATCCTTTGAATTAGCCACATACAGCAACTGTGAAGTGAAGAGTGATTTATGGGTGGTGGACAGTGGAGCATCCCACTGCATTACGAGAGATAAGACAAAGTTTATAAAAATGTCTACAAGCTCTCAGCATATATCACTCGCTAACGGGTGGCACCTCAAGGCCAAGGGTCAAGGTATTGCTTATTGTCCATGTTTAGACCAGAATATAAACATGTTATATGTACCACAGTTAAAAATGAATTTACTTTCTGTGAGAGTATTAGATAAACTAGGATATGTGGTTACATTTAAGAATAATAAGTGCATACTGGAAAGAGATGGCAAAAAGGTAACTGCAGCTTTAAATGGAGCATTGTATGTCTTACATGATAGTAAGAAAGGGGAGGCACAAACTGTATTTAATAATGTCAAGCCTCATGATGAATGTATCCATTTATTGCATAGACGTTTGGGGCATGTGAATTTTAAAATGCTAAAACGTACAGTAGAGTTATCTGAAGGAATAAGGTTAAAGCCCTGTGATAAGTATTTGCGTTGTAATGTCTGTTGTGAAGATAAGAGTAAAATATTGCCTGCAAATAGGCTAAATGGTTTTAAAACTAAAGAACCTTTAGAAGTTGTATTTGCAGACATTATAGGTCCAAAGAAACCCAGTTTGGGGGGTGCTCGGTATATACTGAGCATTATGGATCATTACTCTAGATATGGGTTTTGCTATTTAATGAAAAGCAAAACTGAAACATATCAACATTTCTTCAACTGGTTAAAGTTTGCTGAAAGGAAGACTAAACGGCAACTGATAACCTTGGTGACAGATAATGGCATGGAATTTGTTAATAGCAAATTCCAGAGTAGGTTAAAGGCAGCTGGAATAGCTCATAAGACATCTGCACCATACAGACCACAACACAATGCATTTATTGAAAGGCGAGGCCAAACATTGCAGGCAATGACCCGTACTATGTTAACTGATTCTGGGCTACCTGATACTTTGTGGGGGGAGGCAACAATGTGTGCTAATCATTTATTAAATAATATGGTTAACTCAACCACTGGTGAAATACCATTCACCATGTGGCATGGCAGGAAGCCTGATCTGAGTTACCTGCACACATTTGGTGCACCAGCATGGGTGCATATCCCTACACAACTCAGGCGTAAAGGGCAACACAGAGCTAAACAATTATTCTTCGTTGGTTACCAAGCTAACCATAGGGCATATAGATTTTGGGAGAAAGGCACATCTAAGGTGTTATGTAGTGCCAATGCCCAATTTCTAGAGCACGTAGGATGGGATAAGTTAGAGCAGGATAGCAATAACGAGGTGATTATTGAATCATACAGAAATCCCATTAAGTATCCCTGTAACTTTAAGAAAGAAGTAAAGCAAGAAGTACAGGAAGAAGTACAGCCCCTAGAGGAAGAAATAGCTGAAGATGAGGAACAGGTAGTAACTCAACCAAGCCCAATAATACCCAGAAGGACTACACGTATTTCTAGACCGCCTGATAGATACCAGGCTAACACAGTGTGCCAGGTAAATAGAGTACCATCTACTGTGGATGAGATAAAAAGATATCCTTCTAAAGAGAAAGAAAATTGGTATGCAGCAATAAATAAAGAATTGAAGTCTTTGAAGGATATGAAAGTGTATGAAAACGTGAGATTACCTAGTAATGAGAAACCCATTGGCTGCAAATGGATTTTTAAGATAAAAACTGATAATGATGGAAACACGATCCATAAGGCAAGATTAGTAGCCCAAGGCTTTAGACAAAGTGCAAAAGACTATGATGAAGTATTTGCACCTAGTCTTAAAGCAGCAACTTTAAGGGCAGCCTTAGTGTGGGCAGCAAGCAAAAAGTATATAGTTAACCATTTAGATGTGGAAACTGCTTACTTGCATGCTCCACTAAGACATACTGTGTATATGAAAAGGCCTAATGGATTTAAAGGAGATAATAATAATGATTGTTGGTTATTAAAGAAGAGCCTTTATGGTCTTAAACAATCGGGCTATGAATGGAACCAGTATATTGTAAAGGAACTGACCAATATAGGATTTAAAGCTGGTTTAGCTGACCCATGTCTATTTAAGAGAGAAAAGAATGGGAAGATATCATTATTATTGTTGTTTACTGATGATATTGCTCTGATAACTAAGACTAATGATGAAGCAAATGAAATAATATCATCATTAGCCAAGAAAGTAAAAATCAAGCAATTAGGTGAGATAAAGAGATATCTAGGTTTGAATATAATGAAAACATAGAAAGGGTTTAAGATATCTCAGGAAGATAAGATATCTAAATTGCTAATGGATTATAAAATGGAACTTTGTAAGCCTGCAAAGACTCCAATGAGTCAGGATATTTGCAAAATGGATACACAAAGTCCCAAATGTGATAAGGAACTGTATCAATCTTTGATTGGTAGCTTATCATATATTAGCAATTGGTCAAGGCCAGATATTGTTTTTTAGCATTAATCAGCTGGCAAGACACAATAATGACCCACTTCAATGTCACTGGATAGCATTGAAAAGAATCCTAAGATATCTTAAAGGTACATTACACCATGCACTGTATTTAGAACCAGAAGGCGATCTCATATTGAGTGCTTATGCGGATGCTAGTTTTGCAGCTGAAAGAGATACTAGAAAGTCGACTTCAGGAACAGCCATAATGCTGGGTAAGACAATAATAGGCTGGAAGTCAATAAGGCAACAGCATATAAGTTTGTCTACTATGGAGGCAGAATTCTCCTGTTTATCTTTATTGTGTACTGAGTTGATTATGTATAAACAAATATTGAAGGATATGGGTATAACTGTAAATTACCCCATAATTGTACATGAGGATAATCAGGCAGCAATTAAAATGGCCACTAATATTGCAGTTAAAACGAGAAGTAAACATACAGATTTGAGGTATCTTAATGTAAGAGAATCTGTACAGAGTAAATTGATACAGCTAGAGTACTGCATGTCGGAGGACAATGTAGCTGATCATTTTACTAAAGCCCAAGGTGCTATTAAGCATCTAGAGAGTTGTGAAAAATATGGGTTTAGAATGTAAAGGTTATATATTTATGTCACCCAAAAGGGGAGAATGTTGGGTATATGAATACTCCAACTGGTTTGGGTTGAATAAATATGTAAACCTAGGATTAAGTGCTATGTAGCTTTAAGCACAAGAAACTGCAATGTCATTGTGGGTGCGGTTGCAGGCAGCCATATAGGTAGGAGGGGAAACGTAATAGCCCCGGCTTCTGGATGCAACTGTCTGAGTCCGGCTTCTGGATGCACCTGGTTACTGTTCCTGGTCTGCTGCCTACTGTGTTGGTCTATCTGCTTACTTTGGAGGCTACTGTGCCAGATACCAATTCAACTGAACACAAGGACTGTTTACTGGTGAGCTGAGAATTCAGTGTTGTCCTTGAGAGGAAGGTATCAGAACAAGAAGATTACAAGCAGATAAAGACATTGTATTTACTGTTTAAAAGACTTGATAACTGGATTGATAAACTGGATACTGACATATGGACTGAATGACTATTCTTAATCTCTGTATGAATTAAATACCTATTTAAACCCCAAACAGTGTATTTGTCTCAAGTGTGTGTATACTCCTGGGCCCAGCCTCACTCTCATTTGGCTGCCTGGCTTGACTGCTGCTGCACACTCTGCTAGGGGGTTTATCCCCAAACACTAACAGAGATTGCAGCTGCTTCCTCCTTTTAACTGCCAGTGGGGGTGGGACTTGATTGGGTGGGGGCTTGGCTGTGTTCTGATTGGGTGGGGGTGTGTTCTCATTGGTAGGGGGTTTGGCTGTGTTCTGATTGGTTGGGGGGTTAGCCGTGTTCTGATTGGTTGGAGGCGTGTTCTGTTCAGGTGGGGGCTTGGTTGTGCTCAGGTTAGTCTTAGTTGCTGGGGGATTTGAGCTGGTGAGCTGTGATCTTGCTGTTTGGCTTCGAGTTCGTGGTCGTGCTGCATCTTCATAGTGGGTGTCGGTTTCTTCATGTATGGCTCGGAGGGGTTTGAGGTGGGTAGTGATGCAGCTGCAGTGCAGCTTCTGGTCCATGGTCGTGTCTCATCTTCTGAGTGGGTGTGAGTCTGTTTTCTACATGGAAGTGTGGTGGTGGCATCTTGTGTGGCTCTCATGGGTGTGGGTCTGGTGTCCTTCTTCATGTTAGGTACTCGTCTGTTCATGAGGGCGGGTTTCCAAATGGCTGGAAGGCGGGAGGTGTCATCTCGCTTGTTCATGCTGTGTGGGTGTTTTTCTATCTCTATGGCTTCTCTGATTATTCTGCTGTTGAAGTGTTCAGTTTTGGCGATGGTTCTGGTATTTTTAAAATCAATTTCATGTCCTGTGGCTTTGAGGTGTTGACCAGGGAAGAGGTTGTTTCTTCTTTTTTGATTGAGTTCTTATGTTCTTCAATGCGTGCACTTATTCTTCTGTTAGTTTGTCCAATGTATGTGGTAGGGCAGGCAGTGCAGGGGATTTCGTATACTCCTTGGTTTTCTAATTCGATTTTGTCTTTGGGGTTTCTTAGGATGGTGGATATTTTTCTGTTTGTGCAGAATGCTGTTTTGATGTTGTGTTTTTGGAGGATCTTGCTAATTTTGTCTGTAGTGCCTTTTATATATGGGAGGAGGGCTTTGCCGTTTTCTTGTTCTCTGTCTTGGATTTTGGTTGGGGTTTCTTTTTGGATTAGGTGGGTAATCTTTCTTTGGAATCCATTGGCTGTTAGTACGTTGGTGAGAGTGTGTAGTTCGGTTTTTTGGTGTTGTTCATCGGCTAAGCATTTTGTTCTGGAGATGAGTGTCTTGGCTACGGAATTGATCTGTGCTGGGTGGTGGTGTGAGAGTGCATGTAGATAGCAGTTTGTATGTGTTTTCTTCTGGTAGATGGTGTGTCCTAGGGAGCCATTGGATCTTTTGTATACCAAGACATCTAGGAAAGGAAGTTGATTGTTGGCTTCTGTTTCCATGGTGAATTGTATTTTGGGGTGTAGGCTGTTGAGGTGTGTGAGGAAGTTGTTCAGTTTTTCTTTCCCGTGTGGCCAGATTATGAAGGTGTCATCTACGTATCTGAGCCAGAGTTTGGGTTTGTGGTCGTATTTTTCTAGAGCTTGTGTTTCAAAGTGTTCCATGTAGAGGTTTGCGATGACAGGTGAGAGGGGTGATCCCATGGGTGCTCCTTCTATTTGTTTGTATTTTTGTCCATTGTAGGTGAAGTATGTATTGGATAGGCAGTGGTTGGTCAGATCTAGGATGTGCTTGGGGGGGTTGTATTTGTTTCGGATGGCTGTCAAGGCTTCTTTTATTGGCACTTGGGTGAAGAGGGATATGACATCGAAGCTTACTAGTAGGTCGCTGGGTTGTAAGTTTTGTTTCTTTATGATCTCGATGAACTGGAATGAGTTTCTTACGTGTGAGTTGATGGATTCTGCATAGGGTTGTAGTTGTTTGGCAAGAAATTTGGCCAGGTTTTATAGAGGTGAGCCTATGGAGCTGACTATTGGTCTGAGTGGGGTTCCTTCTTTGTGTATCTTGGGGAGACCATAAAGCTTGGGACATCTGGATGATTTCTCTCTGGGTATGATTCGTTGCTGGATTTCTTCACTGATGGGGGAGGCTTTTATTTTGGATTTGGTAGTTTTTTCTAGGTAGGTGGTGGGGTCTGTCTTTAGGGGTTTGTATGCGGGGTATTGGAGTAGGTTGGTTAACTTGGTTTGGTAGTCAGATGTGTTCATAACCACTGTCGCATTGCCCTTGTCTGCTGGTAGAATTATTATGCTGGTGTCTTCTTTCAGGTTAAGTAGTGCAGTTCGTTCTTCTTTGGATAAGTTGCTTTTGGGTGGTTTGCTAGTGCAGAGGATGTTGGTGATTTCAAGTCTGATTTTGTTAGCATCATTAGGGTTGGTTCTGGTCAGGCTGGTTTCAATTCCGCATATGATGGTTTCTGTGGGGATGTGTTTGCGAGCGACAGCAAAGTTGAATCCTTTTGAAAGGACCTTGGTTTCAGCTTCAGTGAGGAACTTGTCTGAGATGTTGTGCACTGTTTGTTTCATGTGTGGCTGTGGGGGAGGAGGAGTTGGTTTCTGGCGTTGTTGTAGTTTCCTGAGTTTGTTGGTGTGTGTGTCTGTCTTGAGGGTGGTCTGTGTTTCGGCTCTCCAGACAGCGAGTTGTTTGGATTTGTCCCAAAGTAGGGGGTGAATCTTGTTGCTGAGTCTGAGTCTATATGGCATTCGGCTTTGCTCGGGTATTTTCCCACGTCATAGTAGCTGCATGATGGCAGATGAGATTCTGCTGAAACGTCGCTACAACTTTAAAAGCACAGCTACTATGACATGGGAAAATACCCGAGAAAGCTGAATGCCATACATGTAAGTACCCGCGAAAACTTAAGGAATATATATATACATACATACATACATACATACATACATATACATATACATATACATATACATATACATATACATATACATACACATATATATTATTGATTGTTCTTAATTATAAATTTCTGCTTCTATTTTCTAGCCATTTATAAAATAAGTCCCAAGTGAAATAATATTTTGTTTCCTCTTTATCCTTAATTTTCATCATTAATCTGTCCATTTCAGCACAATCCAGTATTTTCTATATTACATTTTCATCCATAGGTATATTTTTGTTTTTCCAATTTTGTGCATATGTAATTCTTGCTGCTATTATTATATGTAATATTAAATATATAATTCTTTTGTTTTTCCCCAGTAGTATACTGTGTCTAGAGCAATTCTGGTTTTAAATCTATTTGTTGTTTCTTCTGACTACCTTTTTATCTTTAACCAATATTTTTTGGCCATTGGACAGGTCCACCTTATAAGGTAATAGGAACCTGTTTCTGTTTACATTTCCAGCACCTTGGCGATATGTTTTAGAACATCTTTGCCATTCTTGCTAGTGGCAAATGCCATCTGTAGAACATTTTGTAAAGGTTTTCTTTATATGTTGTTGACATCGTTAGTTTGTAGTTTCTTTCCCCAATTTTTTCCAATTGTCTAATTCTATAGCATATTTAAAATTTCTGGCCTATACTTTCAGTTTCTTTTCTTCATAGTTACATGTTTTTCTTCCATTTTAAAGTTCAATTAGTAATTATATATTTTCTTTATTAATTGATAATCTGTCCCTAGAAATGCCTCATCTAATTTTAGGGGTTCTTTATAGAATCCATATATTTTTGCTTCTTTCTTGTGTCTCATTTGTATTTGAATATGTGGCCACCAGGCCAAATTGATTCCTTGATTTTTGTAGTTCCTGTTTTGATTTTATGTGCCCTTGTTCATTTAGGATATCTTTATACCTTATGATTTTTTCCAGTTCAAGAGCATTTGGATGTATTAGTACTTCTATCTTGAATAGCCAGATAGGTAATTTCATGTAATGTTTCTGTTTGATTCTCATACTGAAAGCAGAGCATTCCTGATATAGTGCCTTGGGAAGTATCTATATATTTTACTTTTCCCATAACACATAAATGCATGTTACCCCAATTGTAAGTCATGCTCTTCTAAAGTCAATATTCTTTTGTTCTTCAAATTTATCCATTCTTTCATCCATGTGAGCACTAAGGCCTGATAGTACAGCTTCCAATCTTGTAGTCCAAACCCCGCCCCCTATTTCTGATGTCTTGTAACATTTTCAGTTTAATTCTTGTTTTTTTACCTTGCCAGACAAACTTTAAAATCAATTTGTTTAAATTTGCAAAAAAAATTTTTTTTCCTAACTTTATCAGAACTACTTGAAACAAAAATAGCAATTTTGATAGGATATTCATTTTTGTTGTGGCTATCTTTCAGAACTATGGCAACTCCAGATTTCTCCATTTTTACAAGTCTATCTTTATTTGTTGTATTAATTAAATGTAGTTGTCTTCTTTAATGGTTGTACATCTTGCTGTTATTCCCAAATATTTAACTTTTTTAGTTATTTGCATGTCCATCTTTTCTGTCAGTTCATTTTTCTGTTTTTTGTGAGATTCTTTGTCAACATCTTCGTCTTTTCCTTGTTTATTTTTAATCCTGCCACCTCACCAAATTATTCTATTCTTTTTATTAGTTTGGGTCCCATTTCTAGGGGTTCCTGCAGAATAAATACTAGGTCATCTGCAAATGCTTGAACTTTGTAATGTTTGTTTTTTTAATTTCCAAACTTTTTATTTCTAGATCTTGTCTGAGCTTTCTAAGCAAGACTTCCAAAGTTAGTATGAATAATAAAGGAGATAGTGGACATTCTTGTCCTGTCCCCTTGCTTATGTTAAAATTTTCGGTTATATCCCTGTTTAGTATCACTTTCACCATTTGTTTGGCATATATTGCTTGGATCATATTTACAAAGGTTTTTTTTTGCCAAAGTCCATACATTTTAATTGTAGTGTCATAAACTGCTAATTCTTATTATCTACGGCTTTTTGCACATCCAAAAAGATAAATGCTAGCTGTTTTTCAGAATGGGCTTCATAATATTCCAATGCATTCACAATAATCCTCATATTATTTTTCAGTGGTCTTTTAGGTAGGAAACTATTCTGGTCAGGGTGTATAAATTTGTTTAGAAATCTTTTAATCTCTCTGAAATTATAGAGTAACATTATACCATCATAAGAGGGTATTTAAAATCATAAACATTTCCAAAGTACTTCAAGACTTTCTTCTTTCTTCCCAAGCTTCACTTCCAATCAACATAAGTGTTCTGTTGGCAGTAGTTTCTCAAACACTTGAGTGATCTGTTTTTTTTTTCCTTGCCAGTTTTGTTATAGTATAAGTTCACAAATTTTATGGTATTTAAGAACATGTACCAATGTAAATATTAAATGTTTCTGTTCCCTCCACAGCTTCTTCCTATATGTTTGATCTTAAAAATCCCTAACATTAACTTGTAAGTTCCTGATGATGATTTGAAATGTCCTCACATTTGCTGACATTACAGCAAGTTCCGTAGATGTCAGGGAACTATTTACTTATGAGAAAGGAAATCAAAAAGGATGTTGTGCTAGCAGATATACCATATGACATTTGTTTAATGACTGTTCAAAGTTATGTTAATGCCGAAAACAGGTATTTACAACCAGCCCTCACACTTATGACTCTTGCAGTATTTCCATGGTCACATAACCAAAACTGGCAACTGGAATGCATTTATGATTGTTGCAGTTTCCCAGAGTCACATGACCGCCATTTGCAATGTTTCCATGGGACTTCCAACAAGCAAAGTCAACATGGGGAAAGCCAGATTCACTTATGATTCACTTAATGACCAAGGTGATTTACTTGATGTCCATGGTAAAAATATTATAACATCAGAAATGACTCATTTAATAACTACATCACTTAGAAGTTTCAGCCCCAATTGTGGTTAAAAGTTGAAAACTACCTGTTCAGTAGTAGTAGTGCTTTATTGTATTTGGACCTTGTACAATGAAATTAAATGCCATCTTCAGTGTACATCATGCATAAGAAAACTGTCATGCTCCTTTCGGAGTCTGAATCTAAGGAGGAAAGATGAACAGCTGACAGGGAGTGGAAGTGTGGCTCTGTTGGCTGTGGAGGAAACTGGAAAAGGGCAAAGTCTGGCTGGTCAGAGCAGGGAGAGGTAGAAGGAGAAGGAGTTTAGAGGAGGGAGGGAGAAGGAGTTTAGAGGAAGACCCAGGCACACCTCCCTCTTCATTCTAGGACACACAGGGAGGAATGGAGAAGAAAGACATGGATTGTGTGGCTTACGAGGGAAGGAAGGGCCCTGGTTCCCTTCATTAGCCACACCTGGGAGAAGAGTTTAAAAGAGATGCATGCTGAGTGTGGCATCTGCTGGAAACAAACATGAGTTTATCTTGTGTTGACTTTGGTTATCTGTGTTCCTGGTATCCTCCCAACCATGTTGCATTACTACCATTCCTTCACATCTAGAATTCCTTCTCTTGCCCTGCCAGATTAATAACTTCACTTGCCTTGATTGGACTTATGGTTACAGTTTTGGACTTGATTCTCTGAAGCCAAAGGCTGTTCCTGGGAGAGTTTTTCTCCAGCCCAGAAGGTAACCAGGACATTGGGGGCAAAGTTGGAGCTAATAAAGGGACTCCTACTGATTATCTAACTGTGTTGCCTTTGTGCCATGCCCCGGGTCATCACAAAAAGTATAAAATATAAAACAACAACACAACAATTGAAAAACTTTGATATTGCATTAATATTGCACTATACAGTAGAATTCAGTATAGTTACTACTCTGGGATAGAAGCTGTTTTTCAGCCTATTTGTCCTTGTTTTTATTATCCTGTAATGTCAGGGCAAAGCATATATTCAACATAAATGTCAAAAATATGTGGGAGTGATTTGATATTGTTTTCTGTGTTCGTTTCTTTGTTTTATTTCTTAGTTTGGCCTACTGCCCTAATTTTTTTTAGTGGTTTCCCAAACAAGTATTCATGAAGTCTAACTTTCCTAACCTTTTTGACACTATTCTAGGCTTTTAAGATACCACCAACCAGCTGGGGACTGTGAGTACTATGCTGATGCTAATGAGCTATTGTGCAAAATAAAAGACTTGCTATGGGTGCTTTGAGAAATGTAAAAAGCAAAGGATTTTAGTTGAATGACAACAGCAAGTAGGCAAATATTGTTGATGTTTTCAACATTTGTAATTCCTCAATTCAATATATAGACTTGTTAGGGAAGTAATGCTTTACTGTATGACAAGGTCCATTTCATGATGATGTGTATGTATGTATGTATGTATATGTATGTATATATGTATATGTATATGTATATGTGTATGTATATATATATATAAATGATAATACAATAATGTAACTATATCTGATGTACATACCATGCCCCTAAAAATGCAAGCACTAGGAGAGAGGTTGGAAAAAGAATAATTTCCATTTAGATAATTCCAAACCATGGATCAGTACCAAATAAAAACACCTGTGATTATAATGAGCTACAGCTAGAATAAGGTAGCAAAGTTGTTGTGGAAAGATGTTTGCAAAATAGAAAATGTTGTTTTAACCATTTAGTTGTGTCCAACTCTTGACAATTTTATAGGAAAGTGTTCTACATGCTACTCTGTCAAACACGGCTTATTTCATGTTTATTGGATATTGAATTTTGTATAGATTTGATATTAAAAAGTCTTCGTGTTTTTGCTTGCCCCTTCTTATTCCAGTAACAATTCCTAGCATCATTGCCTTCTCTAATGAATTTGTACATATGACATGTCCAAAGTAAATCAGACATAGCCTTATAATCTTAACTTTTAGTGATGTGTCTGGTTTTATAAAAATGAAAAATAAACTTTTTTAGATATACGTGAAAGACCAACTATCTTTCTTGGATAGTTTTATAAAGTCAAAAGTAGCTGGAGAATTATGTGATATTGTTGGCAAAGAATTTTAATGAGATGTAAATACTTTGTGAATCAGATACATAGATTTGTCGTTTCCATAGTTCTGCTTCATAATCAGTTATGTTTGTTTACAAGAGCCTTTCTGTGTAAGGAAACAGACACTTCTTTGAAGTGAACTGGTGACAGCTCTTTATATATGATCTATATCCCTTTTTCAAAAAAACAGTAACAATGGTTGAGGGAAACAGAAATGTTTTGAAGTATTGTTCAGGACATGAAGAATGTTGGTCAGCATTTGCAGGCATTGTATCTCTGAAACTTAGTTCAGATCTTGTTTTCTGAGGTGTTTTCAAACATAAGAACTTTGAAACAGGTGTGCAGAAACAATGGACTATGATCTTGTGAGAGAATATACAATGTCTATTCAGAACTAATGATCTGAAATGTTAATGCCTGAGGCTGATATTTTCCAGATAGTCATTAAGACTGCTTGGGCAAACAGAAAAAGAAAAATAATCTAGTGAAAATCTGAAAGAAACAATAGTACTTTTCAGTAAGATAATGCTTTTCTATGGATCTACACCAGGATTAAGAATATGGTTCTTCAATTTACAATGAATATTTTATGACAGCCTACAGTGGGAGAATATACAATATGAATCTAATCCTTCTTGCCTATTAAGGATACTTTAATTCTGTCAAAATAAAATAAAAACAACTGACTTATTGGTATCGAAGTAAGTCTCATTGAATTCATGGCACTTGCATAATGTCTATCCACTCTAACTATCTATACACACATATTTATGTTTGTCTGTGTGTATAAAATTTAGTTCTCCACTAGGGATTACAGGTTGGAAACTAAGATAATATCTATTTCAAGATGAAATCAGCAGTCTTTCAGATGCAGAAATACAGATTACTGCCAAGTTTCTTGTTATAATCCTCCCAGGATTCCTCATTATGTTCATGTGTTGACTGTAGAAGGCAGAAATAACTATAAAACAGCTCTTCTGGAAGACTGCAAAGGTAAGAATAAAAATTCCATTCCTATTTTGTGAAGGGGATAACTCTTCCTTACTTTAAATCCATTTATGATTATCCCTTTGGGTTTCAATCCCTACCAGAAGTTTTCCCCATTTTTTTTTGCACTAGCCTGGACAAAGTTGCTGATGAGAAATTTATGATTAGGAATGAATTTGATTAAAAACATAGAATGCTTGGATGAGATTCAACCTTAAAAAATATGGGATGGGTGGAAAGGAGAAGCAAAAATTACTGACTCCCATGGAAATTAAACTGGACACTAAATTTCTGCCAGATCCTAATTATATCCTCTAAAAATCTGTAACATGATTCATGGAGTTTTCATAGGGTTCCAGAAACAATCAAATGCATCCAGATGTACTTTTTCTGAAGGTTTCAATGTTTTGATGAATGACTGCCGTATATTATTTGATGTATAGCTTCTGGTTTAAGGAATGTGTATCCCCAACATACAGCTGTTTCTGAAAACGGTGTCTCTGTTCTTAGTCTCCTTCAGATAATTTAGACTTCAATTCCTATACAAATTCTAATCAGTAATTCATACTGATAGGTGACTGGCCCTAGACAAACATATGCCATTTTTTTTGCAATCAATATATTTAGGAAATCTCTCTTGGTCTTCTTATTCATGTTGAAGAAAACCAAATTTAAGGACAGGCATCATAAATAAAGTATTTTAATGTGGCTCCACTGAAATCAGTATGAATTAACTCAATCTCTTTGGAAATAATTTATAGGGATTATATAAAAATGGTATTTGATAACAACTTCCCTTTCCCTCTCCTCTTTTATACTCTTTCAGATATCTTGTTATTTTCATACTTCTTTCAGTGAGAGATAAATACATGAGAGTTTCCTCCTCTTTCTTAATCCATTTCCATTTGCACTCTCCACCTAAACTTTGTCCACCTTTACAAAATGCTTTTTTCTTCTCCTTTATTTACGTCCTCTGTTTTGTTGCCAACTATATTAATTGACTTTGAGTAGTTATCTGAATGGTCAGTGGTAAAAGGAAACAATATCTCCAAAAAACCAAGGTGGTTAGATAATGTCAAAGTGGCACCGGTTGGAGCATTAAACAACTGATAGAAGCCATACAAGTTTGGAAAATGTGAAGACAACTGGTCTGTAGAATCACTGAGAATCAGACATGATTGAACAGATACCACCATCACCACCTGATTCTACCACAACTTGCAGGATAATTACATAAAATAAGACTGGTAGTCAATGTCACAAAGGGAACCCAATCCTGCCCCAGACCACACAATCTACAGGCTGAAACTTAATTAATCTGTTTAACTTTAAAATGCCATTTGTTTGTGTGAATGAAGTCAAGATTGAATTAGTACTCTTTTTGATAGAGTGAATTAAACATCTTACCTGATCAAACCAATCAAAGAGTTATATAAACCAAACAATGAAGGCTACCAAACAATGAAGGAAGGCTTTACAAGCTCTAGAAACATGTAATGTAGTGCAATATTTTCTACCAAGGAAATGAAATCATGTGTGACTTTCACATATGAAGCCTATCTAGCCATTACAGTGTTAATTTACCATCAAAGGAGAAACATTCTGAGTTTTCTAAATAGTTTTGGCATTTGGCCCACACATAAATCAAACTGATTTTTTGGATGTGGTTCATGATCTCATTAAACGCAATCAAATTAACAACAACATTATTTGGATCAGACAAAATGAAGTGTGACACCAGAGCATGGGAACATTGTCTCTAAAGGCTTCATCATTTATGAAGGGAATGAAATAAATGTGTTTGATCTTCTCTAGCATAAAGCTAGAAAGTTATGGAAAGCTAGAGTTAAAGTGTGACTTGGTAGGAATTAGGAGATCTGGTATTGTGTTCCAAAAATGGAGGAACCAAAACTATAGTTATATAGTCCATAGTCTAATTGCAGATCACAGATGTATACAAAAGGGTAGCTAGTAACTCCCTAAACCACAGCCAAGCTAATCTTAATCTTAATTGTGACTATAGGTGGCAAAAGCAAAAATGTAAGAGATAATACTTGTTTATGAAGATATAATTTATTTAATTAAGCTAACATGAAACATGCAAATATATCTAGTCACATAGACTACAAGCAATGGACATTTGTTCCATAATTAAACTACCATAAACAAGAGATGTAAACTTAGAACTGTACTTCCCTCATTTTAATGTAGTTTATAGATCAACAAATTTG